GTCTGAGGACACACAGGCAGTGAGAGTGCAGGAGCCCAGGGTTCCATCCCAATCTGCAACTCCCAAGGCCCTGCAAAGGTGGCCAGACTGACCTCTATGGCACCCAGATCATCTCCCCCCTCCCCCCCACCCCTGCAGATGCCTTTGCTGGCTTTAGGTGGTTCTTCCTGTAGATACATCAAGTACTCAGCTCAGCACTCGAGGCCCTGCACACTCTCCTAGTTTTTCTCCCTTTCCTCTTCCCTCTTATAAGCTCTCCCTGCCTTTCCTGGTCATGTCCTCGAATCTCCAAGTCCCTCTGCCAGCAACATCATCATTTACTCTTACACGCTGGGCAGATCCAACCAGTCCTCAGGCCCGAGAGCAAAAGCCCCCTCTGTCAGGAAGCCCTCCATGACCAGCTGCAGTTTTCCCCTCCTCCATGTCTCTCCTCCAGCCCTGCTCCGGCTCTGACCAGAATTCGAGTTAGTTGCAGACTCCTCTTCCTCCCCATGGAGGCTGTGGGTCATCTGATTGCTTAGAGCTCGGCCACATAGACGGTGGCCAGCAGGGTGCCCTTGTCCAGGCTGATGCCCAGCACCCGAGTGGACCCAGGGGATGGAGGAGGGGGTAGCTGGAGCCACGGCTCACTCTTTCATCCTCTTCTCACTGGCCATGCTGCGTCCTGCACCCCCACTTCTGGCCACCAATAGACTTTACACTTGTGCTCCTTCCTGGCTCTGTGACCTTGGGCAGAGAAGTAACCTCCCTGCGCCCATTTCCTCCCCAGTAACATGGGGGTAGTAACAGCACCTGCATTTCTTAGGGCGATGACACACTCTCTGGGAGGTACCAGACAGGTGACCTCTACCCAGGAATGCTCACTATTATTTCTGTCTGCACCTCATCCGGGGGCCAGCACATGAATTTGAGGGTCAGAGAGACTTCGGTTCCAACCACTTACTGCATATGTGATTCCGAGCTGGTGGCTCATTCCTCCAGGCCTCTATTTCCCCATCTCTGAAATGGTACTAACTCCGCCCACACGAACCAAAGCAAGCCCGATCTCGGAACCTCTCTTTTGTTCAAGGCATGCAGTAGGCACTCCGATTATTTCTCAACTAACGAATCAATGGTCCAGGTGTAAGGAATCCATCCCCCTTCCAGCCTCCTCCCCGCCCACCCCAGCCTCCAGAATCCCCTTCCCCACCCCCAGCCCGTGCAGACTAAAATAGTCATTAGGCAGATTTCAAAAGATGTCAGTAGCTTATAATTATAGTCGACATCCTTCTGAGATAAAAGTGATTACCTTGGATGCAAATCACTTAGCAACCAATCAGGGCGGTGGGCGGCGCCCGCGGAGGTGACCGGCCGGCGCGCAGCCCTCCGCCCGCAGTCCGCCCCGCACAGGCGGAGAAAGCGCACAATAGCTCTTGACACGCAAATGGGTTAACACAATAAAGGCGGCTCCGGCCGCTGCTGGGGGAGAGCAGCAATTCCCGGCCCGCGGGAGGTAATAAAGCGGCCCTTTTGTGCGCGCCTCCTCGTTCTCACCCCCGCCCCGAGCCCAGAGGAATCGCCGCCTGACTGAATTACGGTTCATGAATATGACCAGCTCCGCTCGCTTCCTCCGGTGTGCGAGTAACTGGAAGGTGGAGGGGGCCGGGAGAGGTTTGGAGCGGGGGAGTCTGGCCAGGCCACAGCCCCGTAGGAAGTCAGATGGGAGGGAGCCACGTGTGCTCACCACGTGGGGTGCCCTGCGTAGGTGAGTGGGAGACCCAGTCGAGGGCGGCTAGAAGGGTCTCTGCTACCCTGAAGCCTTTGATCTTTGGCTCCAGGAGGGACAGGGAGAGCCATTCAAGGCCCTGTTCTGAGGATGAGGCTCAGAGAGGCAAAGCTAGTCACCCAAGGTCACACAGCCAACAAGGGTGTACCCATTCCACAGCCTGGCTCTTAACCATGAGCCACTGCCCACCAATGGGAGTTAAGCAACCCAGCCCAGGCCCTGGCCAGAGCAACGGTGAGGCTCAAAAGGGATAGGGGATGGGCAAGCTTACGAGCTTAGGTGGAATTAGACAAGTGATAAGGATTACTGGGGTGGGTGGGAGCTAACCTTGAGAGAGGAGACTGGCCAGGGTTACCATCCCTTTTAAGGGAGCCCTAACTGGATCCTCTCTCGGGCTTCAACCTCACCCAACCACCTAAGTCTCCAGGACACACCCACACCAGGGCCACCACTTCCCCTCATCCAGTACACCCCAGCACTCACAAGCCACACCCAATGCCCAGAACACTCTCTGCACTCCTCTGCCTGGTGGATCCCTATTGGTCCCAAGAGTCACAGTGCACCCCTCCTAGAGGGCCCTTGACAACATTCAGGCTGGTAAGGAGCCAGTCTACCAATGTTGCCATTGACCCATCCACATCCTTGACTTTTCACTAGCTGAGTGCCGACCTGGAGGGTCCCTGGGGTAAGTGAGTGCAGCCTCACCCCTCCTGTGGGGAGCCAGAGGGGCAGACGACAAAGAGCCCGGGGCCAGCTCTCTCAACCTTTCCCTTGGGCAGGTTTCATGCCCCACCTTCCTTCCCCTAGTGCTGGAGAAAGGGGTACTAGGGGTGAGGGGAGCAGGCCATCCACAAGGCCAGCGCAGAAGTTGCTACTCTGCTCAACAGTATCCTGTAAGTAATGGGGAAGCAGGATTCAAACCCAGGTTTCAGTGTGGGAAGGCATCTTGGTGAGGCCAGACTCCCTCCATAGCCGAAAGCACCCCCCCCCCCGGCTGACTCTTGCAGGGACCCTGTCCAACAAGTGGTATAAGGCCTCCCCTCCACCCGGGGGAGGGGGTGGGAAGATCTGGGGACTCTGGAGCCAAGGCACTTGGGAGCCAAACCCCTGCAGCTGCCTGGCTGAGCACCTGAGCCTGTTTCCTCATCTGTAAAATGGGCCACGACGGCGCATGAGCCACTCCAAGCGGGTCACTGAGATCCTCCTATACAATGCCTGGCACACAGGGAGACGCCGGGTAAGCTGGCATCCCCTCCTGCTCGTCGCCCGGTGCTATTGCCAAGCCCAGCGAAGGGAACAGAAGGAATTGCCCAATTCTGACAGCCTTTCCCTCCGCTTTGGCTGTGGAAGTGTAAATACTCCACGGAGAACCTCCAACTGCCTGTGTTTGTGGATCTCTGGCGCACACTCCGGGTTTGTTTCTAAACTGGGAAGCTTCGAGAGGCAGTGCAAACAGCCCTTCTGCCCACCTCTCCCACTTCTCCCCCCATCTGCTGTTGCTCTGTCCTTGGAAGCCTGTGTGTTTAACGACACCATTTCAGCTGGAAATATCATCTCCCTGCCAAGCCCCCAAAAGCAGCTCCACTGATATTTATTGACCTGTTAATCTAGCTAGAGAGCCTGGTAGGAGAAGAGAAAAAATGCTGGCTGCATAGAGACTGGGGCCTGGCTTCTCATAATGACCCCCCCCCACTTCCCTCTGCTCTCACCCCACCCCACAACGAAGCAGTGCCACAGTTCTCTAACCTTTACCTCCAAATGTGATCACAGCACTTTCACCCACATCCGACAATAGTACCAATTGCTGGAAGGAACTCAGAAGAGGAATCAATGCAGCAGCAGGATACTGGCTGGGGGTTCTCGGGGCCTTCACAAGGCACAGGGCCAGTACTGGGGGTGTGGGGAAGAGAGGGCTGGTGCTTGACTCCCATCAAAGCTGGCCCCTGGCAGGGACACACTTTTTTCAGACCTTGGCACTGACTTGCCCTCCGCTCGCTTAATGAGCACCACACTGTGCCTGTCAAAATCATCTTAAACAGCAAAAGGAAAAGAGTGGGGCAGACAGGAGTCCAGGGTTGGCCAAGGCCCTTCATCCTGGGGTTGTGCAGCAGGGGAACCCCTGGACTTGAGGGGTAGCAGGCAGCAGCTCCTCTGAACCTTCCCTGGCTGGGGGAGCACACGCTCTTTCCTGAGCAGAAGTGGCCTCTTGTAAGGCGCGGGGGTGGGGAGGGCATGCGGGGGTGGGGGTGCGGGGGTACATCTCTCTAGGGACCCTGGGAACTTCAGTCTGCTGGTTGGGTGTATAGTGGGGTTCAAGGAGGTGTCCTCCATAGCATCCCTTTTGAAAGCATAAAGTTGCTCTGTTTGGCAGTCCTGAGCCCCCAGGCAGTGCCAGGCTATTTGGGCAAAGCTGAACACCTGTCCTTGGGGGGAGGAGCATCAGCAGGGACAGCTGGCCCTGCTTCCCTCCCCCACCTCATGGAAGAGCTGGGGATTTAGGTCAGAGGACTGCAGTTGAGGGTGGGGGGGGGCGTGGAATCTGCCTTCACCCCTCCATTACCCAAAGACTTCCAGTCTCGCCCCTGGTTACCACGACCCCACCACCTCCGGCCCTGGGTCAAAGTAAGTCGCGTCGCCACGGCAACCCCAGTGACGTCAGAGGCCTGGAAGTGACGTCACGCTGTGGCCCCACTGGGGAACCCACCACCCCTGCGAGCTTTTTTGAGGAATGGGGGCTGTACGGGAGACCCTGCTATGATCTAGCCTTGGAGGACTCAATCCTCAAACGCAGCCACCTGCACGGCTGGGACTCCACATCCACCTCGGAGCTGATGTCCGCTGAGGATCTCAGAGGCTGCTTGGGAGCACCCCAAGGGTTCCATCCTGGGTGCCCTCCTCCTTGGCCCTCCAAGACGCGGGAGTTCCCAGGGAATTTTCGGATGACGGAGCTGCTACCTTTGTTGGCTTTAGGGGTGGGGTGACCTTTCCTCTCTGGCATACGCCTCAGCCTCGCCCGGGGCTCCGTGGAGTTCCCCAACAGGCCCCCAACCTCCACTCTGGCCGCTTGGCCGGTCTAGACAAGTTGTGTGTGAAAGGGAAAGGGTTGGGGGGAGACGAGGAGCACCGCCGCTTCAGGATTCCCAACAGCTCAGGGCCCCTTTATTTCCGATCCGGCCGCCCCGACGCCAGGGAGTGCCCCCAGCTCCAGCCCGGAACCCCGCCCCGCGGAACTCACCAGATCAGCCAGGCCGTTGAAGGGCACCAGGTCTCAGCGGCGACGACTCTCCGCTCGCCGGGTCGCAGCCATGCAGAGGTGGCAGAGGCTGCCTGAGGGAGCCCCCCTTGGGGGCCGATGCCTCTCTCCGGGTGGAAAGGGACGCTGTCGGTGAGGGTGATCCAGGCTCCGACCCGCGCCGTCCGAAGTCGGGGGTGGCGGGTCTGTCCGCTCAGCGTGGGTCGTGCCCGCCCGGGACCTGGGCCGTGCGGGCGCTCAGGCGGCGCATCCTCGCCGGGGCCTGTGCTCACGGCGTCCGGCGGGCGGCGCTGCGCCTCCCCTCGGGGTCCCGCTCAGGGCTGCAGCTCGGCCCGCGCCGCTCCCCGGGGCGCCCTCTCCGCCCGCGCCAGGAGCCCGGCGGCCGCGGCCCCTCTCGCCGGCCCCAGCTGCAGCCTGTCTTTGTTGCTTGCTCTCGCTCGACCGCCCGCCCGCGGCTCGCAGCCCCCCGGTCCGCCTGGGGATGGGAGGGGGTCGTCTCCTCTGGGGTTGCACGCACCTGCAGCGGCCCCGGCTCCTCGCCGGGCATACACCGGCCCCCGCAGGTTGCAAAGAGAGGCGGTGAGAACGCACCGGCCCCTCCTCCTCCGAGCCCTGGGTGTGGGGGGAGGGGAAGCTGGAGAGCAGCGGCAGCCGCGGCGGCGGCAGCGGGCGGCGGAGGCTCGGCTGCAGTCCCGGGGGCCTCTGCGCCGCGAAATAACCGGTCCGGGTGGCGCAGGGCGGACGTGGGAACGGTCCGGAGCACGGTACACCGGGCGTGCGAGCTCTCGAGCTGCAGCAGGGGCGGCGCGCGCCGGGCTCTCACGCGCCCATGGCCCCTGGCGGCGCGCAGGGGCTCCCAGGGCTCAGCCTCGCGCCGCCTGGCGCGCGCCGGCGCCTCACCTCGCCTCGCCTCAGGCCCAGGTGCCGCGCGCCGCGTCCCGCAAGCGGCGGGCCCGGCTCTTCACCTCCTTCGGCTGGAGCACGCAGCCTTTCCGCGGAGCCGCCGGCCCGGCCGTCCTGCCCCCTGCTCCGCTCCGGCCCGACTGACAGACGCGAGCGCCGGCAGCGGCCGCGGCGTCTCGCCCCCCGCCCGTCCCCTAAGGTTCTGCCCAATCAGCGGCGGCCGAGAGGCGGTTACCAGGGTGACGCGGCGCCGCATCCTGCGGGGGGCGGGGCCGGGGGCCGCCACGCGCGCTTTTCGCGGCAAAATTCAAAGGCCGGCAGGGCGGCTCTCCAACCTCCTCCCCCAAGCTGGGGCGAGGCGGGACCGGCCTAGCGAGGACTGCAACTCCCGGCATGCAGGGCGCCGACGCCGGGCGGAGGGGCCCCGACTTGAGGCGCAGAGCGTGCTGGTATTTGTAGTCCCATTGTCGGGACCCAGAGGTGGCAAAACCAGTATCCTTTATTGAACACGTATCTGGGGCAAGGCACTATGCTAAGAGCATTAGCTGCATTGTTTCATTTAATCTTAAAAAGAACCCTATGAGGAATTTGTTAAAAATAAAAGCAAGCTAACACGTAATGAAGTACTCTGCCTAATGCTCACAACAACCCTGTAAGGTAGGTATTATCACCCCTATTTTACAGATGAGAAAACCGATATGGTAGGTACTATTATTATATTGCCAGCTTATAGAGGAAATTGAGGTTAAGAGATATGAAGTGACACTCTGTCCGGAGTGTTTTGCCCCAAGGCATATTTTTGGAAGTGAATGATTTTTGCGATCACATTTGAGATCTGTGGACCACTAACTATATACCCAGGCACTGTGCTGAGCTTTTTACAAAGTCCACCGCATGGTATCCACACCATATATATGGGAGGCAGGTCCTGGTATTCTCCTCCACTTAACAAACGGAGAAACTGAGGCACAGTATCACCTGGTGCCCAAATTTTGAATCCATCAAACTGTACTGCACCTTGCCTTTTACTTTCTAAGTAACTTCATAGGTTCTCAATAGGTCTCTCTGATAGCCCATGGGTGGCCTCCTTAGCAGACCCATTTTACAGCTGGAGAAATTGAGTCCTGGGAGGGATAGTTCCCTCAGTTGCCATGTGTCCATCCCACAGCAAGTTGGGGAGCCAGCTTTGCAGGAAAGACTTCGGGATCCCTACAGAAATGCAAAGCCGCAGCCAGAACTACTCTGACCACTCTCAGGCTATGTCTTGTGACCCCGTGGAATCCCATGGAACTTGGGTGGGATTCCATCCTTGTCCTCGTTGGCTGTTGGCTTTGGACATTTACCTTCATGGCTCTGTGCCTCAGTTTCCTGTCTGTGTATCAAAATTCCTATCCGAGGGGGTTGTTGGGTGGACAAAAAGTTGCTGGAAAGGATTCAGAACACACTAAGTGCTTAATAAATGCCACCTGTAGTCATCCAGACTTGGAAGCCTTTGAAGACCCTGGTGAGTGTACCCAGTGAGATGGGCTGCTTATAGGGGCGGGTGAGGGGGGGTTGGCTAGCCTACTTTTAGGAGCCAACCCACCCCTACCCAGAGCCTGGGAGAGGCGCCCGCGGGGGAGCTCCAGGGCCGACCAAGTAGGCCACCCATCGTCTTATCTAGGGCAGGAGCAGGCCCTGTTTCAGGCCCTGGAGCAGCTGCCACGAGTGCCATTCCCAGCAGCCCCCGGCTTCAGTGCCCTGCTCTAGTTCTCCCGGGCTGTCCCACCCAACCCTCTTGGAGTTGGGGTGGGGGTGGGGATTTACCTGGGAACTTGATCCAACCCCCAGCTGTTTCCTCTCGCTCTGCTCCGGGGGCCAGCAGCCAGAAATGCTAGTGACGTCAGGGCGGGTCGCCCGGGCAATGCACTGGGTGGACCCAGGGTGTGGACAGGTGGGGAGAATATGGTGCAGGGCTCAAGCCAGGTGCAGGGAGAGGGACGGCGACCACCAAAACCCTGGGAAGAAAGAGAGGGCAGGAGGTAGAGAAGAAGACTGTGTGGCCACACCATCTATTTTCCGAAGTTTGGGATTTTTTCCATCGTCAGTTACCATGACTTGACACCTACTACGTTCAGGGCACATGCTCAGTGCTGTTTATATCACATACTTCTATCTCCTTTTACCTTCACAGCACCCCATGGGAGGTCTAGTCGATTACTGTCCACATCTTACAGCCGAGGAAGGCCATGTGATTCGCACAAGGTCACACAATGACAGAACCAGGGCCCACATGCCAGAGCCCCTGATCTTGATTTATTGCACCCTGTGCCGGCCCCTAATTGACTGGGTGTGGCCTTGAGGGCAGGTTTCCTCTCCTCTTTGGACCTCAGTTTTCTCTGTTGTAAAATGGAGGGTGGGACTTATGACCCAGCTGTACCAATCAGGCTCTCGTGAGCTGGCACCCCTCCCCTGACCTGGTAGCTTCCAAAGGTCCCACTGTGGTTCCAATGTACAGCCAGGGGTTTAGAAGGTCTCAAAAGGCCCCTCCATCTCTGAAGGCCTGCGAGCTCATGATGAGCTAATGGGATTTCAGGCAGCGGCGGGCTGGAAGACAGCTATAGAGGTAGAGAGCTCAGTCTTCCTCTCATACCCGTCCAGGAAGGTGAACATCTTCATGGATGATCCGCCGCAAGCCTTCACTTATACTCTCCCACACTCACACTCACAGTGCCCACCTCCCTGAGGTCAGGCCCTCCTGGCCATGCCCCCCCGGCCCCCCAGTTCCCAGCCTTGATCCAGCCTCCCCTTGCTATGGTCATGTGCAATAACTCTGCATTATGTGAATGGAAACAGTGTCAAGATAGATTTGCCACGGTCCGCAGAACCACCAGGCGGGCCAGCGCTCGAATGCTGGCTCCAGCCAGGGGTTCAAGAGGCCCTCAGGGGGTTGGGGGACAGAGAGAACCTCTGTCCTCACTGTCCCTGTATATCTCCTATATTTCAGCCTTGCTGAGATGCCTGCACATCCTCCCAGGTGTCTCTCTGACTTCCAGTTCTTTACCCATTCTGTCCGTATCAACTAGAATATCCTCCCTCCAGGTAGTTAACTCTTGCTCCTCCTTCAGATTTTAGCTAGGGTGCCACCTCCTCCGGGAAGCCTTCCCTGACTACTGCCCTCCAGGCTGGAGCGCTTCCCCCTTCATAGATGTACCTGGTCTGTTTTATAAGGGCCCACTTATTGGACAGTCTTCCCCACCAGCCTGAGGACTCGGAGAGGGCAGGGGCTGCATTTGAACTGTGTTAGCCCTAGCACAAGCCTGGTATACAGTCAGCACTCAATATTAAGTTTTTTTGAATTAATCTCTGAATCAATGAATAAATATGGCCCAAGTTTTCTTTGTAGTGGAAAAGCAGGGAGAGGAGGAGGAGTGGAATCAGACCGACTGGGTTTGAATCCTGATTCTTCAGGTTATTAGCCATGTGACTCATCTGCTCTGTGCCTTGGTTTTCCCCATCTGTGAAATGGGGTTAATTGTCACATGGGCACTGCTCAAGGGGTCTGGAGCCTGAAACTTTTGCTCCCACCCTCCCATGTATGTAAGGCTAGTCATGCTTGTTCCCTCTTTAAATCTGCTCATTCATTCATTCATTCATTCATTCATTCAACATTTCCTAAGTACCTGCTTTGTGCCAGCCACTAGGGATGCAGCAGTGATCCAAACACAGTCCTTGACCTTGTGGGACTCAAGTTTCATGGGGGGACAGATAAGACAACTAGCAGGTATCAGCTAGCTGAAAACATCCCAAATCTGGGGAGGGAAAGAGATCACCCAACAAATTCAACCCAAGGAGGTCCACACCAAGACACATAGTAATTAAAATGGTAACAGGGAAGGGAAAAGCACAGAGCCAGGCCCCTGACCTAGCTGGTGGGCTTGTAGTGGTGGAAAGGCTGCTCAGTGGCCGTGTGAGAAATGATAGAAGATAGCCAAGGGGAGGGGTGAGGGGAAGAATGCTCTTGGCAGAGGGAATCGCCAACGCAAAGGCCTAGTGTCCCAAGTGAGGGGGCTGTGAATGTCCCGAGAGTAGAGGTGGTCAGAGTCTGAGCTGGGCTGGGGAGGGGCGTGGGGAGGCAGAGACTGAGTCTTTGTCCTGGTGGGGGGAGCAGGCCTGGCCCAGCCTCCCTCCCCAGCCCCCACCTGCCTCACCTGCCCTTGTTGCCATAATCTAGGCCAGAGCCTGGAGGGAGCCGAGCCCCCACTGGTGCACACCACGTAGGTTTTTCAGAGATAATTTAATCAGAGCTATTAATAAGCAGAAAAGAAAGAGCTCTTTATGCTCCTCCTGGAGAAAAGGGGAAAGAAGAAGCACGTGTAACCTTGTTATTCACCCAGCCCTGCCCCCCAGTACCTGGAGCCTCTCTCTAGGGCAGGCCCAGGGAGATGGGGCCAAGAGCCCAGGGGAGGGAGGGCCAAGGAGGCCCGCACAGCCTCAGGGACTGGCCCCTGCCCCACTCACCTCTAGCCACTTTGGCCTCCTCTTAATTGCTGACAGATGCCAAACTGTTCCCCCCCCCCCGCCCCCCGAGCCCTTTGGCCAAGCTGTTCGCTCTGCCCAGAACACTCTTCCTTCCGCTCTTTGCACAGCTGGCTCATTATCATACTTTAGGTCTCAGCTCCAACGTCACCTCCTCTGAGAAGCCCTTCCTGACCACCCCATCCACAGTTATTCTCCCCAGAGGCCCCTTCTTTGCCTGCCCGCTGCAGCGCTTATTATTGTCGACAACTCCCTGCACACTTGTGGATTGACGTGTTTATTTTCTGTCTCCCTGTCTCTCTGGTCAGCTCTGCGGGCGGGGGTCGGGGTGGGGGGAGGACTCCTGGTCATCATCTTCAGCAGTGCTGTATCATCACGACCTCAAGAGATCATGTGCGCACAGTAGGTTCTAGGTTGATATTTGTTTATGGAATTGGAGAAGGTTCAAGATGCCTGGGGAGTTGGGATAGCAATCAGAAGGTGCTGGGGTCCCTTCCACCTGGGAGAACCCGAGAGAATCTAGGAATTTTAGATTCAAGATTTTTATTTATTTATTTATTTGAGAGAGAGAATGAGAGAGAGAGAGAGAGAGAGAGCATGAGAGGGGGAGGGTCAGAGGGAGAAGCAGACCCCCCAGTGAGCAGGGAGCCCGATGCGGGACTCGATCCCGAGACTCCAGGATCATGACCTGAGCCGAAGGCAGTTGCTTAACCAACTGAGCCACCCAGGCGCCCTAAATCCCCTTATTTCATCCCTGGGGATCAGGAGGCCCAGAGAGGGGAAGGCACTTGCTCAAAGTCATGCGGTAAGTTTGGGCCCGAGGTGGGACTTGAGCCCAGAGCCCTCTTGGGGCACACAG